GTCCCAAGTCTATACTTAATAATAAATTTCAATTATAAGCTTAACTTTTTAAACTGAACAGATTTTTTGCTAATGTAGTAGAAAATCTATATCAATTATAAATTTAATTATCCTCAGAAAATAAACTTTATTTCTTAATTATTGCAGAAAAATATATAAACTGGAAATTTAAATTGCCATATCGAATTCATTTTTACCTAAACATAGTAAAATGTATTAATCAAAAATTTAATTTTTAATACCGAACACATTTTTTCTTAAATATAGTATAAAATATTAATAGGAAACTTAATATTCGATAAGGTGCAAAAGTTATTTCTGACCTTACAGTTTTGCAAAAAATAAAGATTATAAATTTAATTTTCAATAAAGTATCCAATTTTTTCCTAGTGCAGTAAGAGACTGCAGTTTTAACTTCAAAAAAGCAATACTGCTTAATAACTTGATAAATTAATTAACGGAAAAAATCAGAGAGATTTAGTGAATTAGTATAAAGTCTGTTTCAGAATGTTTAATTGTCAGAAAAATGCTTGTGAAATTTGATCAGAATGGAAAGATAGTCTCATTTGTTAAATGATTCAAATATGCTATAAAAGTACAGAAATTTGTCCAAACTAAATTGAGGGAAACTATTTTCAAATCGATGAGGGAGCACCGCAAGTATTAATTTTGAACAAAATGTACAATAATATTTCCTGTAGACAGTTGTTTTCCAAAATATGTCTTGAATACTATACTGTCCATTTTCAGAAAAGTATTTCGATTTTCAGTAAAGTTTTCACTGTTTGTAGGATTTAGAATTTAAATGAATAGCATAAAATAATACTTTGTATTACTTTACCTTTTCAGCTTTTTAGGAACAAAATTAATGAAAATTAAGTTATCTAAAAAATTTTTTTAACTTGATAAATAGTTAAAAAAAAACGTGAATAGTTTCTTTTCAGAAAATAATGCAACTCAGACATATATAAATAATAACAAATATGGTATGAATGATTAGAAAACTAAACGCCATGAACTTTGAAAGTAATAATGGGCGACTTTGAAGTCATGTTTTTCAAGTGTTCCTAATTTGAAGATACGGTGTAAGATGTCGATTTTTCACAAAAAATACGATTGGGTCGCAATCTTGTTAGTGTTATTATTAGCTAAAATTCGTGCATCGAGTTGTGTATTTTTTTTTCAAAGAAAAATTTTGTTATTTATGACTCCAGCTTACAGCATGGGATATCTTACCTGTATATCTGTAAAGTAAAATTTTCTCAACCACATTACAACATAAATTAAGGTATATAAAAAAACATTTATTAAATAAAAAATGAAAGCCCTTACGGGACTGGTAAGATGAATACATTACAACCAAAAAACATAATTGTTAGGGCAACCATGCTCATCCCCCCCCCATTCCATTCAGTTGACACATCACTATGGATAAGCAGATAATCACACTAGTGAGATTAAATGAATTCAGTTACCATCACACACACTTTAGTCTACATCACTTGAAGGCCTGCACACATTCACCTCCCGATCGGCCAACACGTCTCAGCATAATCCATCCAGGTGGGGATTCAAAGTACCCCTTATCAGAACTCTCATTTCTGACCACGTTAGATTTCCAAACTAAATCACCTCATCAGACAATACTTTAGTGGCACTTTCAGCCGGTGACACCTAAAAACATCTCAATAGTTTAGTTGACTTAGAGAGGTGTTTTGTTGTCATCCACGACCATTGATGCCAACCGCGGAATCTTCATTACTAGCCGGTTGCCATCCCAACCAGTAAATGCATACAAAAAGATTTTATCCAAATTGACACATATAAAAATTGACACTGTGGGAAAATAATTGTTAATATTACATAATTACAACAATCTATTGGAAATCGATTTCAAATTTAAGCTAAAATAATACCATAATTTGAGGGAAAAGTTTTTTTACTATTACTTTAATGAATCACGATGTATTTAAATGGGTTCATACTGCCACTTATTGGTAAAAAAAAAGAAAATAAAAGTATAACTGTGAAGATACTTCAACAGTACCATCTTAAGCATTTTGATGATGACTGAGCTTTGACAAACCAATATCGTGAAAAATCAATTCTCCCCGAGGGTAATAACACAGTGAAGAAGGGCCTTGCTGGGGTGCTGTCCACACTTAGACAAGGGGTACAAAGAGAGTGAGAAAGTATTGATTGGGAAGGAAAAACGGTTCTCGTCCAAACCGATATTCAGATTTTATTTTTTCTCAAACTAAAAAAATGCTAAATTTTCTTTTGAAAATTTTAGAGGTTTCTAGTAAACGCTGGTGCCATTCATCTACATTTTTTTTAATGATTTTATTCGAATGCTTCCTCCTCAAAAATCCCCAAACCTTAAAATTCTCAGAATCAGCTTTTGTGAATATAAACCGTCATTCATTTGTAATACGCTTCAGAGGAAGCCTCTCAAATGAAATTTATTGTTCACTTTTTACTGTTCAACTTCTGATTCATCAATCGTTGTCAGAGATCAACCATCTATGTTGACATTTATAAAATTTAGAAAAACGTTTTAAAAATGACGTTAACTATGAATTGACTTCGAGTCATTCATAGTTAACGTCATCGCGATATTTTTGGATTAATAATTTTAGTACATATTTATAAATTCTTTACGTATAATGTAATTTTAAAATGTATAGTTTTAAAATTATATCCTAATTTTTTTAAGCGTTGATGAACACTTTTCTAGGTGTAAGTTAACATCAAAACTAAAACTGAATGCGCAAGATCGAAATAATTTAAATAGTATATTGCCTACACGTTTTAAAGAAGATCTTCTGAAATAAACTGCAAGAAAGACAATATTAAGTATAATTTGAATCCTTTTTAAATCATCTATCTATTCCAATCTATCTTCTGAATTATATATTCTAATACTCCGTTGCAATGAAAATCTCCTCAAACCGTGGTTTCTCTGCAAGAGATCACATGTATTCACTAAGATTTTATGGTTTACACTATTTCCAATTCTAGAGATTTGTAATGAAATTTTCTTGATCATAAATACCACGCCTTAATGTTTCTTAGAGTCTTTAAAGAGTTGTCAATGATTTTTATTTTATAATTTCTATTATATTTTCTTATTGGTATTAAATAGAATTCCATTCTAAATTTTATTTTTTTAACTTTCAACTAAGGTAAGGTATAACAAGAATGATTTCAACGTATATAAGAAGAGAACTTTGAAACTTCTTTTTCTACATTAAATTTAAAATACATCATTATTACAACACTGTGAACCGGCTAAATTTTAAGAATTTACTTCGGTATATTTATTAAATTATAGATCAATACTGATAAATACTTTAGTAACGCTTAGTTAATCATAGTACTACGAACTGTATACAAGGGTGACTCGTTATGGCTACGCTTTATGTATAATTTCAGAAACCTTGACAAAAAAAGAAGTCGGAAAAGTACACACAAAAGGACTCACAAATAAATATTTAAGTGAGGGATGCATAAAACTTTAGAAAATGTTTTCTATAGGATTTGATAAAGATATTATAATATGAGTGTTTTGCTTATTTACAATCAAATTAATTTATTACATGCTTTTGTGACCTGGACGAGATATGTGATGAATGGTCCACATTAAACAGTTGATTTGCTTAAACAATATACTGCTCAAAGGAAGAAAAAAAATCCGGGGAAGTAAATAAAGGTTCCCGGTCAAAAATCAATATTGAAGGGAAAAAAATGAGCGAAATGCTATAAACAGAAAATGAAGAAAAAAATAATGAGCAAAATGCTATAAACAAAAAAAAAATTAAGAAAAAAAATAATGAGCGAAATGCTACAAACAAAAAAATGAAGGAAGAAAAATATAATGAGCATAATGATATAAATAAAATAAAAATAAACAGCATGAATCAACAAGTGATATTCTTTCATCGAATTCTATGACAAATAAAATTCTGGAAGGGGAGTAATGTGGCACCACTATGAATATTAAATACCAATTCACAAGACATGTTAACTTGATTCCATCATGAGGAACCTTTTGATGGATGAAGGTTGACATAGTCTAATTAAAACCTTTCACTATACTCTCAAATAATGTAAACTCAACAAAAGCTAATAAAATAAAATTGAAGTTATCTAATAAATCATGTGAAAATTGTTATAAATTCTGAATATCATAAGTTAGTGAAAATTTGGCCTATGGTTATTGATTCCAATGATGTTTAAAATAATTTGGTAATAGGTGCAAATTAAAAAAGAAAATTTGACCTAAATATCTTAACTCATTTAGAAATATACACATTCATCTAAGAAAATCATAAAGAAATTTTTTTTTTATTGACGCTAATCTTTTTTTAGTAATTATGTGCTACTAACATTATATTAATTGATATTTTTTTTTTGAAGAAGGCCCACCCGTATGCATTGATATTCGTCATTCGGATATCAAAATGGCAGATGACCACTCTTTCAAGTAAGAGAGAGAAGGATGATTCGATTTCGGGACCTTTCTGCCATAAACTTTCTAAAGCCACCGAGAAGAGCGGAAAATAATAATATATGTGTCAGTTTTGTGCATGTATAGTCTTGATCAATACCGATTTATTACTTTTTTTCATCCTCATCGAAGAACAGGTATTTAGCTAGTTATCCATTAAAGCAGAAAACAATTGAAACATATATTTATTGAGCTTAAATACATCACAAATGAATTATTTACAATCATAGTAGATAAGATGTAAATAATCTTAATTTTTTTTAAAAATCCATTCGTTACATTAAAAGATAAATTTACGAATTTTGAAAGCATTACAACATATTTAATCACGTAAAGACAAATTTTCAAGCAAAAAATAAATGCTTTGCTAAATTTTTATTACTTGATTTGAGTAATTCCATTTATTTAAAATTAGAAATAAGAAATTTATTCAACTCTCGTTTAAATATTTGACATGCTTCTTCTGTAGTTTCATAAAAATATTTACAAATAAGGAAAAAAATAAACCTTTTTTATCTAAAATATTTTCTAAGCTCCATAATTATGAACAGAAAAATTCATAGCTCTGATGTTCAATAACAATTTGTAGAAACAAAGCTTAATTATAAAAACAATTTTTAATAAAATAAGGCGCCAGAAATTTCCATTCGACTGCATAACCAAGCATCCATGATGAAGAGCAAATTAAGCATTTAAACGAGCATTTCTGTAATAAAAAAATACTTTTTTCTCTGAAAAAGAAATTCATGCAGGGTATTCCGTAATCACAGCTCTTTATACGAGATTTCTTCATCTCGTACATAATTTTAAAGTACTAGTAAAAGACATTATAAATTAGGTGGTTATGAATTATAATTGAAGCAAAAAAAATTTTGAAATATTTGGTCAATCATCATCAAGGAAGACAGGTTATAAGAATCAAAATCATTTCATTTGACAGATGAAGAATTTTTTCATATCTCCTTATTTTTCGTCATTTTTTTCCACCAATTAAATAAGTATAGATATTTTCATATCTGTACTTATCATATGCGCTATTTGCTTTTACATTACGTACTTATTTACACTCACGTTAAGGACTAGTTAATTTTGATACCGAAATTATATTTTTTCTTCGTTTGTTTAAATAACAATTTGCTATCCCAAGAACGCATATTTTATTAATTTATTTTGTACAAGGATTCGGTGATTGCAGAACATTGTGCATAAGAATTTATCAGAAAATCGTTCCATGGCGTGTGAAGATAATCAACGGTCCACTAAAACATTTAAAGCTATGACAAAATTTTCATTTTAAAATATGTTTCTTAAACTACTAGCTTTTTTTTACTGAATATTTTTGGCTATTGTAGCTTGTGAAATTATAAATAAAAATTTTTTATTTGATGTTTATATTTTATTTATGTTTTGTTTAAATTTTGCCTCTGCAATAAAACGAGATTATTTTAAACCTCGAGATCACTTTTTTAATTTTCTGTCCCATCATCTATCCAGTGCCCATCGTTTTTCTGACGGTGCCATCCTTAAATCTATTCACTTGCTTAAAATCTTGCATATATTACAAGCAATGCTATAAAGTTCTTACAATAAAAGTGCAAATAAAATTTGAGTTTAAATGCATAAATATAGTCAGAACGACACAAGGAATACGAAGCTCGTTTACAGCAGCTTTATTCATGAATATTCTGTAGATACTTATCACAAAATAACAATTATTCCTTACAAAATGAGATGTCTGTTTAACTATTATTTTTTATTTAAACGAGGCTAGAAATTTAGAAAGCAAGTTTTAAAATAAAACTAGCGCATGTTTTTCTTAATACAACAAATACTTATTCTAAGAAAGCTTTTTTAGTGTAACGAATACATTCTAGATGTATAATAAGGTGTTCTAAGTCCTTATAAAAAGATTCCGCAAAAATTAAAATGAATTTTCTGATATTGTGCGTAATTGATTTATTTTGACTTGGAAGTCACCTTTTTTCTGCTCTTCCCAAACAAAAACTGCATATTCGATATAATTTGTTCTATATCATGATTATTATTTTGAGAAGTCTTTATTTATTTATTTTTCAAATGTGTGTATGAATAATACACCAAAATAGGAGCTATTTCAGGCAATTTAAAAAGTCACATTGTTTTGCGAAAAAGGGAAAAATGTTATATGTATGCGCCGAATTTTTTAAATACAACTTATTCAACTGATACAGACTACATGATAACAAATCGAAGTTTACGATTCGTTTGAATAAAACGGATCATGAACAAATCACGAATTTTACCGATTACTGTTATGCTGTTGAATCTAAAACACGTTTTAGCTCTAGGTATAACTGAAAAAGCTGTTCTGAAGTTGTTTTTCTTTAAATCAAATATAAAAGTCTTTCCAATGATGCGTGTCACTAAGCGCATAGCCCAATTTTGGTTTTATATAGAATTTTATCTTTATATTTAGCCATGAGGAGGTAAAAATGAGTTTTGCATATTTCATTGAGGAAGACTGAATGAATCGATCAATTGAGAGGACTGTATCCAGAGGAGAAAATTCAAGCTTTCTAACGATGATGAAATGAGAAGAGGTGGCTAACAGTGACACGGATTTTTGTTGATCTAAATATGGATGAAACAAAAATATTTAAAAATTCTTATTTCCCCGGTGTATATGAAATGGGTGTAGCATTAAATGCCACAATTTTTGGAGAAACGCTATACTGGATACTGAACCCCCATTGGTATTTTAAAATTTGGAGAAAAATAAATTTAGGTAAACCTGGAATAAACCATGATGTTGAAATTGCTTATCAAAATATTAAAATAGAAGTACAGTAAAAATATTGCTTTTTCAAAATTCAATTTCTCTGGACTGCTCCACCGATTTCACTCAAATCTCGTATTTGGCCATGTAAAATTGCATTCTTTGAAATTGTGTACTTTGCAATTAAATTTTTTTAAACTATTTGTAAAGAAAATAATAAAAAATAATAAATATTTATTAAATTTTATTTTTGAATGCAATTATCGTTGGATAAACGGAATCAGGATTCGAAATCCGTTGAAAAACAGTTATGTTTATTCAGAGTACAAAGTACATTTCTGTATCTGAATTCGTAACTTAAATTCGCCTACACTAATTAACTAGCATATTTGATGTCATTCCTTCGAACTATTAAGACTGATTTCTAAAAAGTGAAGATCAGATCGTTAGATAAAAAAAAAAATTGTGGTTGGTCTGCTCATTTTTTTGCGCAATATAAATTATGGCAAGATTATTTTCCCACTTTGTAATCCTGAGTAATTCTGTTGTCATTTGTGTGTAGTTTGATATTTTGAAAAAAAAACAATAATTTGAAATTTTATGGATGACTCTAGGTTTACCTAAACTCTATTTTTCTATACTGTTAAAGTTTTAACTACATATCTGGGTGAAAGAGAATTTGGTAAGAAGTATTTCTGCCATGGTATGGCATTCTCTTAATCATAGCATCAAAAGGTGTAGAAAAGTTAGAATTGCGACAACTCAAATGCAAGTCAACTCCGATTGCTGATAAAAAGCGGAACACTAAAAAAATGAAAATAGTTTTATACTTATTAAAGCCATCATAGTTTTATACTTATTAAAGCCATTTAATCTCACAAGGAGTGTGCCGACACTTAATGTTCGGCCTCAAAATACTTTGTATCACCCTGCAGAACATTTATAGAAGAGCTTCACGACCATCATCAACCACAATACATATCGCAGATAGAAAACACAAATTCTTCGCAGAAAATGTTCAACAACTTTGTAAAAAGAGAAATCGAAGCAATATAAATATGTAGAAGCTTAAGGGGAAGCCATTGATTGATGCACTCGTTATTTTCGACGATGTTGACGATGAATTTAAAGAAGATAGGCTATATCCGTCTACCACAGTTTCGGCAAGCAAACCTTTAGTCCTCTGAACAATAATGTTCGAATAATTGCTGTAACCAACAACATTCCGAACAGCTATTCGAATCGAATAGTCACTTTCTAAGCTAAGATCCTGTATGATGAATTCATCTCCTGAAAGAAAGAAAGAATGATTTCAAATAAAAATAATTTTCAATGTTGATTCATTCTCTATTTCAAAATTTATATTATGATGGAGAAGTTTATTAAAAGCATTAAATCATGCGTCTTATATGTGTATATATTAGGGCAGTCAGTTAGGCACTCATTGATGCACAGTCGTGCCCAACGTGTTAAAAAATTACCAAAACGATCTAGTACATAATTAACAAAGTGAACGGCAGTTACATAATAGATCCAATTTTATTACTAGAGTGTTTCCTACACTTCATTTTTAAAAAAATTTTTTAATTCTTAATAATTTCGTCACTTGTGAAACAATAACCCTAAATTTACTACATATACTAACAATCTGTAAAGAGACTTCATTAATCTGGATTCTTTGTATAGAGAAATGTTATGCATTCTCTAAATACATATATATTTGTATTTTAAAGCAAGCTGAAATACTTTATTATTTTTTTAACATGTATTTTACCTTCACTAGCTTGGCGGTATCGAGCCTGATACCAGTCCTTCTCTGACGAAAGTTTCCACTCAATTCTGTATCCTAAAATTGGCAGAAACTCAATGGGAGGTGGAGGTAGGAAATTCATTTTTAAAACTCCTGGTTCGTCACTTCTCACTTTCAAACTTGGAGGATCAGGATGAACTAAATACAAAAAAAAATATCCTTCAAAAAAGTATTTATGTAATGGGAAAATTACCCAACCTTTTTCTATACAATATTTAATAATATCCAACTTCTTGTGATTCTCTTTCTTTAATTTAAAACTCTAAAGACCAAAAAAAGTTCCGAGAAGAAAAAAATTTCGTTAAGAAGCTTAACATTTTGAATGCATTTCAAATGCATTTTTTTTTGTTTCAAATTTAATTTCTTAAAGGTACTTTGCGTTGAAAATAAAAAAAAAAGTAAATAGAAAATTTTATTTTTCACACTAACCCTTCGCTTTCTGATAACTTTTAATAATTAAGAGATAGTATTTTTAAAAAAATCAAACAATGTTGGATACTTGAAATTTTTATTTTTTAAAAATTTTCAGGATAAAAAACTGTATAGGATATGAGCTTCTTTGTGTAAAACTATTAGAGACACATTTTTTTCCGAAAAAAAATATGTTTTTTTTTTTTTGGAGAGGAGGAAGAGTAACCTCCAAGGTTAAAAGTAAACCTCTTCTGGAATTTTTAGAAAAATACATGAAATTACATGTGTGTAAATATTTTTTGTAAAATGTCTGAATTATGGCATCGACCATTATTTTGTGTTCTACTACCTTCATACTAATTATTAAGATATAAATACTTTCAGTGGACCTTTGCATCAAAAATCATTCGAAATCTAATTGTGCTAACACAAAGGCATATATTTCTATGTATGCATACCCAGGAGTAAAGATATTTGTGGTGTTAATTTGAGTGGTCTCAAAATTAACCTTAACAAAGCAAGAAAAGGAAATTTTACAAAACATTTAAGTTCATTAATTGCTTTCACCAGAACCAGACCAGTACAGCAAAAACAAAATCAATTTGCAGATCTATGGTTACTGATTGAATTTTCATATGAAATGGTTCTAAAGTCTGAGACTCATAACAGATTAACTGAATACGGAAAAAGTTATGGAAAAGCTGTAAATTGCTTTAAAGTATGTGATTTGCGCCTAATATGTATATTTGAAGGAACCCCCGAGAAGAGCTTCTGTCTCGTTCTAGAATTTACTGAGGAGGGTAAACCATACACCTTGGCAAGAGCACTCGCAGAAATAAAACCATTTCTTTTAACGATTCGGTAATCCTTGGGCTGTATTTCGTAAATTTTGTGAATCATTTCGTCACAAAATCACCAGATTTGAGATGAAACGCGAACTTTATGATAACANGCTGCGAATTTCATTTGATTCTGATGATTCCTTCATGGTGTTGCATTTTCTACAAACAGCAGTTTATGACGAAAATGTTTTCTTAAGTCGAAACCTCATTGCAGTGCATTGAGAAACATAGCCAACTAGAATGAAGACTTAGCGAGGGGAACGAGAATGATGAAATAGAACGATCGGCTATATGGTAGTCAGGGAGTTTTCCTCCTACCAGGAAGACCCCGGGTTCAAATCCCGTTTCTGTCAGTCCTTTTATGGTTGTTGGGTGGCGGTCCGGAATAAGTGATCAACAATATATGACAACACCTGTTAAACACAATGCGGTATCAAAAAATTAGATTGACGAAGTATTTTCATTACTTTTGATGAAATTTGTTTCCATGAAGAAGTGATGATTGTTATTTCGTCACTTTGATAAAATGTTCATTCATAGCATTTATCAGAAAGCGGTTGGGGTAAGTTTTCACACTGATTCGAATAAAATCACATCAGAATCAATGCATTTAATAGTTAAGGAGTTATTTAAGTTTTAAATAGAAAAAGGGCAAATTCTGACTCATACATATTTATGCGTCTGATATATCTATCCAAGCAAGTAAGATATTGGTTCCAAAATATTTTTTAATCAATCAATAGAATCACTTCACTTTAACAGTTTAAAAATTATACAAGATTTCAGTTTTGTACGTTTAAAAGTTTAAAAACTACAGTTATGTATGTTTTTGCACTTACTGACTTATTCAACTTTCATACTGTTATTGAGCACAGCGTTCCAATCAATTGTTTAACCAATACACTGGACCTTAGTCACCTGGGAGAAAGGTATCTGGGACTCAGAATTTGCTCCCTTTCTTTGTAAAACTTAAATAATGTTTTAGATATATCGACTTGGATCAGAGCACTTAAAAGTGGCTGCACATTGAGTTCCACTAACCAAACTAACCACCCAATTTTTCGGAGGTTTTTTTTTATCTCTAATACACATCTAAAGTCTGATTTTTTTTGGAGAATTGAAGCAAACTTGATCGAGACTTTAATGTTGCTATTCATGTTCACATATTTCATTCAACGCCTCTCCACAGGATTTTGATATTGTGCAGAGAACTAATGTGCTATTTAATACCATAAAGTCGTGCAGCATTGGCTAAGGACACAAGAACTAAAATGAAGGATTTCAAAGTTGAAAGACAACCTAATGCATGCAACCTAAGAAATTAGTTGCCAACAATTAACCACCTGTTATGGAACAGAATAGTCTTCTGCCTCAAGTCTACTGAACGATGCCTCCCAGATGATTACTCTTGAAATGTACTGCAGACTTTAATAGGAATTTGTTGAGAAAAGACCAAATGTTCTACTACCAGATTATTCTGAAATCAATTCTTGCGTTGCCCTTATGCTGCAAGACTTAAAGGAAGATGGTATTAAATCACTTATCAATGCGAATTAGAGAAATTCCGAAGTTTCCCTTCCAGGCTATGGAAAGGTGACTGGGCTTCGAATAAAATAAGTAAACATGAGGCTAGAGATAGATATATCCGAGTTAATCCTTATTTCTCCAAAAAAAAAAATCAGACTATAAATGTGTAGTAGATGTAAAAAAAGGAGCTTATCAATACCGAAGATTTCTACTTCATTGAAAATTATTGTAGATAGTTGTAAATGTAATAAAAAAACACATAAAAAACCGGCGGTGTGCAGGTCATCTTCACGTAGTGATTTCTGATCTAACATAAAGAATGAAGTAAAAATTACGAAATATTGGAAAGCCTATGTCTTTTTCTAAAGCGTTGTGTGAACGAAAAAAATAAAATTATTTATCAGAATTTAATATATTTAGATTATGATAATATATTTAGATTAGATTTAATATATATATTTAGATCAGAATTTAATATATTTAGATTATATTTAGATTACTATAAAAGAATTATAAAAAGGTAAAGCATGTTTATTTCAGAACATTTAGCCTATCTTAAAAAATTAAAATGGGGGTGATTTTTTCCAATTTTCATTAATTTTAAGCTCGATGCGCTAATGAAAAACATGAAAAATTTTATGTCGTTTTTTTCATTTACGATAGGCAACTTTTCCGCACTGAAGCGTTTCGAAATTGCAAAATTCACTTTTTTTTCAGCCCACTCACTCTCCTGTACATGATATACCATTGGATTATTTAGATGGAATTCCTTGAAGTGTTTTTTTTATTAGGGCACAATTCAATTTTTAAAAATCTAGTTGAAAACTACTTATTTTAAAGTTTTCAATGCAGCATTGCTGCATTAACACAATAATGTTATCTCATAATCACCACTTTTGACCATCATTTTCATCGTCAGTCTCTTATTTTAAAATATTTTTGGCATCAAAATTTTTCGGATTTATTGTTTAACTTTTTATACCAAATAGTTTGAAATAAATCATCTTAATTTACAAAAATAGAAGTTAAAAAAATGTTTTAAAAAAAGAAATAAAAAGGATTTGTATCTCAATACATGTATATTTTATTCCTACAATTATTTTAACTTCTCTAAAATTTTACTTTACTTTTTTTAATTTTTAGCTGCTATTTAGTACAATAAATCCATCATCACAAGTTTAAAAATAAAATAAAATAAAAAAGTTATTCATATTATGTGTCATTTTAAGCAATAAATTAATAGGTTATTAATTAAATTTAAAATAAGTTAGGCAATGAAAACTAAAAATATGTTGCATTCCATTGAAATCTCTTAAGAAGCTATAACATATTTGCAAAATATATTAAAATTTAATATAGTTAAAATTTTATTGAAATCGAATGAAGCTAGAATTCCGCAATTATTGTTTGATTCAAAACATAAGGTTTAAGTTATGTTATGTTAAACTATGTTTATGTTTTATGAAACATATATAAAATAGAATTTAGGCTAATTACACTTCCTTTTATTAATTTAAATTTTCATATAGTTGCTTTTCTATAAAAACACTATAAACAACCTTGAAATACTCTTCGTAATAGGTTAGAGAAAAATCAAAATTGTCAAAATTATTTTTCGATCAAAATTTCTTATAGATTTTCATCATCAAAAATATCAATACCAATAAAACATAATTTTCAATTTGGCTACAATTTATTTCCATTTTGTTCAGATGAGAACTATGGATATGCTAATAAGAATAATCTTCCATTAATTTAAATGAGTTAAAAGATCTCTGATTTTAATTGTTGAACTCCCGTGTGGCCTAGTCAGATGAATTAATAATGATTATTCGTAATTGCATTTTCGCTATCCAAAAATAATAATGACAGAAAATTGTTGTAAAAGAGTACTTTAATAGAAATGTTTCTCGAACAACCATATTTGTCAAAATCATTACTGCATCTTCATATCAATTACTTTGTCATTATTAGTTTTTGAGAAATTCCTTTTCCCTTGAAACGTTTCAGAAACAATTAACTGTGCTTTTTTAACGTTTTGAATGTATTATTTTCAAGTGTTTCGCAGAATTGTAAATTTATTTTACTATACATATTTTATGGGAAGGAAATAAACTTCGTTATAACATATTGTGCTATATCATTTATCTATTTAATCATGGAACCTTGCAATTATGTATATGAGAAACACAAGTTGATAATTAGTGAAATATACTATCATAATTATTTTTTTCTAGTATCAAAAACGTGACGGACGCAGTATTTTTTCTTGATAAATTTCTTTGAACTCTATAAGTGTAATTCATTTGTAAATTGATTTAATGATTTATACTTCTTAAATTATCGCAAATAAAAAAGCGTAAAAAATTGAATTTTTTAATACTATATTCGGAACTATTAGCTACACTGTAAAGAATTCCGGATCAAATCACGCTATAAAGTACAGGCACTTTGGGGAATCATCCGTAAAACCCATTTTTACAGTAATATTTGTTTCATTAGAGTGATTCGGCGATTTTACGGTGATTATTAATGTAAAAATAACGGTATTTCAGACTTTTTATTTCGAAACATGTTCTAGTAAAAATGAACTTTTCGGAAAAGAGGACTGAGACTCTGAGTGCCGGTACTTCTTACTTTTTTCGGAATTTGATTCGGAATTTTTTTGAGACAGGCTATCATCGATTAAAATGAAATAAATTAACGCAAATATTTAAAGGGAATAAAACAAATCATGCTTTGAATGCTATTCAATTAAAAACTGAAAATTATTTCCAAATTAGATTATAAAATTTGGAAGAGCTGATTATCCCATATGTCCGTATCTTTTGGAGTCATTGAAAGATTTAACAGAATTTCTCTCCCATAAAGAGGAGGTGGGTCAGTGATGAACAAGACATGCATGTCCGGATGTTTGATTTTATAATTTATGTTCAAAATTTTAAAGTTCAAGATAGGATAACTAAGAGATGCATAACAGCTACACTAGCGAAGAAATAAAAATATTTAATACTTTTATATGACTCAAAATTAAATTGTTTGACATGATTAAGTTTTTTAAAATTTATCAAAGATTTTGCCAAATTTTATTAATTTCTGTAAAGTTATCGAATAGATAAAAAAAATGAAAGACTTAGTTTACTTACTTCCTTCGATCAAATTAATGATTCTCTTTATTTCTCCCATATTATTACTGACAACACATTGATAGCTTCCGAAAACAGACGAATCCTTTATGCTGACCTGAAACAAAACCAATTTTTTTAATGTATTATATTCCATGAACAGAATAAAAAGCAATTATATTGATTTGATTTATTCAACAATTTAATGAATCTCCAGAAAGGTTAGATCTAGGAATGAATATTTGAAAATAAAGGCTTAAATTCCTACCTTTTAGATAAAATTATAATAATTTCTATTTAATTTTAAATGTTAATCCGAAAATATTATTCGATTGATTTTTCAGTTTTATCATTTATAGACTACATAAATACCTTATTCTTTCCATCAGTAAAATTATATTAATTTTCAAACAGTGTTGCAACTTAAAAAAAAGGACCATGAACTGCCGAAAAAGGTATGGTCAAAATTATCAGAATTCGGTAAAATGTGACGTTTTTATGTGACGTTGCTCTATTGGAACACCTAAGAAAATCGAATTTTAACAAAAGCTCTCTGGGGATGATTTTGGCAAAATTAACAATAAAATAGGGTGTTATAGTATATGTGGTAAAATTTGATGAATGTTTTAAAATTTGGTAATTTTATCACGATACCTTAAAACATGGCATACGAACTATATTCGGATAAATTTACTTTTCAGTTTTGTATTTTTCAATAAATGCTTAATAATAAGAACTATACATCTGAAAATTGGATTTAGCGGTAAACCGTTACCATATGAACGGAAAGTTTACCAAATGAATGGTTGAAATACCGTATTTTAGTTTTTATTACCAGAATTATGGTTTGCTTTTTTACCAGAAATGCCATTACTATACAGTAAAGTTAATTGTGACAGAATTATTTTTGTCCGTGCACACTTAAATATCCACCTTTTGGTTTAAATTATAAAAATGTGCATTTAATTTATCTGAAAATATTACTTAATTCATGTTTTAGTTTTATCATTCATTAACTATGTAATTTAATTATTTTTCACATCAGTAAAATTATCTTAATTTTTTAACCGAGTTACAATTTAAAGAAATTCCCAAATAAGCACCATGCTTTTCAATGCATAATTTCGGTGAAAATTTGAACAATTTAATTTACGGATATAATTTTGTTACATACTTTTATCCTAATTACTAACATTCAGTTTCTAGAGCTTTAGAATTTAAATAAAAAAGTACTAATATCGCAATATTTTTATAAGCACTGTTTAATTCAACACATTATCTAACATTTCTGTAGTGTTGTTGTTGTCATTTGTCAGTAAGGCAAAGGGAGTGCGCTTTTTCTAGTTTTCCAGTGACGCCCTCTAAGGTCAAGAATTCGACTTCTGCCCCCTACACACATACATCTGAACCCGTTTATAGGTCGGGCCCATTCATACATCTATTCATTCATCCACAAATCGTAATTTTGACCTAAACCAGTGAACAATCAATCTCCTATTCGGTATGATTTTTTTACTGGGGCATGAAGGAATTCGTGACCCGACAGATTTAACATGCAACAGTCACCACTTATTACACGGGGAGTCTTCGTCCGGCGGAAATCGAACTCATGACCCTTGTGGACATGGACCATACCCGGCTATCCCGGCCCATCTATCATTTCTCCTGAAGTGAAATAAAATCTGAAGCATTTATTTCATGGTGATATTGGCTCAAGTTTCTAAAGAAAGGAAAAAATAATTTATTTCTATTGGACAAATCAATTAATTTTCTTAAGTCAAATTCATTCTTTGTTTTGATCCATATCTATAATGTTCGTCAAAGGTTGGTGAGGTTGTGAAATAAAATGATTTTTACTATAAATAAGATTTTAATTATTTTAGAGGAAAAACTATCTATTTAGAAAATAAATAATTAAACTTCCCGATAAAGAATGCAAGCACAGAAGCCGACAATTGTTTCAAAACTTTCTTTGTATGTGAATGCTGACATATAATTACTTGAAGGATACTTTTCCATTTTTTGTTTATTAGTCTATATATTTTACTGTTGCCAAGCAACGCTCTTTCTCGAAACCATTCGAACACTGGAGGAGGTTGTGAATGTGCAGCACAAGTCAAATTAGAACTGGATCCAATGGTACCATGGGTTATCTCCATCTGATGGATGTGCCAAACAGGCCTATCTGTGAAAAATGAGTCAATATAATATATACTATTACTTACTACAGTTTCAATTAAAATGCTTATTAACAATCACCAACAATGACTAGAAGTAATCTTGACTGCATTTTTAAATACTGGCCAAAGTTTTAAAAAAAATTCCAAATGCTAAAAAATGAAAATTTAGAAGAATTCTATTGAAAGAAATTAAAAAAGTAAGACATTTTTGTTCAGAAAAAAATGATAATAAGTGTTATAAACTGCTGCTTATATACTGTTAAAAATGTCTAATTTATAGGGAAAAAAACTGTCAGCTAATATTTCAATATAAAATATTTTATTTCGCAGAATAACGGATGTCAGTTTTTTAAGCAGATACGTAAAGTTATTTTATCAAATAAACTTCGTTATTTCAACAAAAAATATCTGTTACTTTATTAAAAGAAAATTATAAAATAATATGTGATGGATGCGGGCCGAGATTCGCATAAGAAATCAAAGACAGATAATATTACCCTTATAAACTAAGTCCACCCTTGTAAAAATGTCTTTAAACTTCATTCACCGAAAAATTATATCTAAAGGCTAATAATAATCAAATAGAGTATCAATTCGGCAATAAAGTCGAATCATTTATACGCTGCTCAAAACCATAAACTAATGTTTCGAAAAGTAATAGCAAGTATAGAAAATAATCGCAAATGATTTGAAAAAAGATGAAGTTATCTTACGGTAAGCAAAACTACGTGGCAAAAACTAAAATTTGAGTTGACAGTTTTAATTCGTTTATAAAAAACAGTTTTAAAGCGTCAAATAAACGGTCTTTTAAAGATGGAAATCTTTCGCAATGATTAAAAATCTGTATTTGTCTTCAAACAGTTCTTTCACTGTGAAATATAAGTTTTTTTTCGTAGAATTTATAGTTATTTTTTACAATGTAAGAGACCCTCCATTTAAATCGTCCTTCAAATGGCACATAAGAGTTCTGTCACATAAAAGTGAGTAGAAATTGTTTTAGGATTCAAAGAGATTATTAATAAACTACTATTGATATATTAAAAAGTACTTTTTATGACTTTCTTTGTCTAAATGCACAAAAGAAAACCTTTTTTAACTCCTTTGAGTCTGGGGGGCTGTCTAGTTAAGCGATCCACTTTATCATCAAAAGAAATATTTATCTTTACAAGTTAAATGAACTAGAGAATGCATCAACCAAATTCAAGATTTATAATAATCATAAATAATTTAAAAAATCACACTTGCACCTTCATACGGAAAAAAAATTCAACAATGATAAGTATACTTTTATGATATCTGTTAACTTTACTTTTACTCAATTTACACTTTTACTCAAAATCATTAATTAATATCATTAGTCATTAGTTATGTACTGGAATTCGTTACTTTTTAAGAGAAGAATTTCCACGCCGGCAAAAAAAAGTATGGCCAAAATTACTAAAATGTGGTAAAATGTACCGTGTTTCTGACTTTATGGGTACACCTAAAATCTCGGTAATTCTTACCGAAGCGCTTTGGTTATGATTTTGGTAAAACTAACAATAAAATATAACATGAGTAAAAATTTCTTAAATGTGGTAAAACTTAGTAATTTTATTATGATACCTTGGAGCAGGGCATAAAAACCATTCTTTTCGGTTCTATTAGCGTTTGTATTTTTTTACTAATTGGGAAGTAATAAGTACTATAATTTTCAAAACCGGAATTAGTTCAGTAAATTTAGCAAACCACCACATGAACGGAAAAATTACCAAACGATAAATACTCCCTATTTTTGTTTTATTAATCAGAGTGATGGTTTTTTTACCAGAATGTTTTTTCCGCGTATTTGAATAAATGAACTATTGAAGGGTGACCAAAGCAAACCGTACATTGAACATAAAGTGTGATGTCCTTATCTTTCATTTGAGAACTATGAGGTGTGACAACGAAAGCTCGACACGTATATTTCCCATAATCTGAGGGTCGTAGACTACGAATGTGAAGACCATCATCACTCATTGTGTATCTTGAACCTAGAAGAAATATAATTAATTCTTTGAAAACCATAATTATTTTAACCTCTTAATCGTTCTAAATTTTATCTGGGATCCATATTTCGGATTAAATAATTAGAAAAAAGGAAATGTAAAAATATATAAGAGTTCTGGATAATTAAAAAGATGATTAAATCATATTTTTAATGAATCTACTTTTTTTACTTAAATAATTATATGGAAAGATAAAAAAATAAAAAAATTTCAATTTAGATTGTTACTTCTAAGTGGAAACAAAATAATTACATTTTGTAAACTTGGTTGCAACTCATTTAATTTTCGGAAATGTTATCATTTCATATAAAAACGAAGTTGTTTATTTATCATTCATTTGTTCTTCATATAACCTATTTAACTATGAAGAAGACTTTTAAATATTTGAACCAAATGTTCTTCAAAAACGTGCCAGAAACATAACTTTTCTACGATTTGAAACGTTTTAAGTGTTTCAAAATATCCTATAAGTGTTTTCTATTTGCTGCAAATTTTTATTTGTAATACAAAAATCTCCACTTTTCGGCCTCATCTATCGAAACCCTTTTTTCAAGTTTAAAAACTTATTTTTAACGCATCACAAATCCTTTCATTTGTTACCAAATCATTGAATTTTCATACAATACTACCAGATGGTTTCTCAACATAAACTATCTTAAGATTTTCAACAGTTAGATACATTTCTGAAGCATGAATGCACCGTAAATGAGACATACTTTATGGGCTGGATATTTTTACACTTTTACAATTTAGGCGCCTGTCAGTAGTTTTATGTTGGATAGATAAAATTTATAACTGAAGAATTGGCTTATTCTTGATAAGGTATAAACAGGCGGAAAATACTTACTATCTAAAATAAGAGTTCCATTAACATACCACGAAATTATAGCAGTTGGATCAGATCTTACATTACAGGTAACTGTAAGGTCTTCACCTTCCTTACCATGCTGTTGCTCAGGTGTACCCCAGAATGCAATGGAAACTGAAAGAATTGTATAATATTACACTGCTCGAAGTACAACATTTTATACAAAAATTCCACATTAATTTTTCGTATGGGTCAGTTATAAATTTTCAAAGACTCATGAACAAGTTCCTAGACAAAAATCTATACCTGGGGTCCCAAAAGTAACCAATGACTTGGAAAACCAATTAAAGAAAAACGGATTGAAATGTCCTGCGTTTACTTAAGAGATAAAATATTTAGTCGCATCAAAACTTTAAATTTAGTAAAAAATTTCCTCAATGGATGACGCATAGTGCTTGAAGAAATGTAAAATTTCTATCAGCATTATTACTATCTAGCTATTCGTCTAGAAATTTAAGGTGTTTTATTTTATATAAAATATAGTTAAAGTAAAATTATACTTTAAAAAAATATGAAGAAAGAATAAGATAAAAGTATGTAATTAAATAATTATATTGTATCTAAAAATGTATAGAAATTTATCAAAATTTTATATTATATTGGCTTCTGTTGATCTGCCGCTGTAAATATTATCCCCCAAAAAGTATTTTATTTTATTTAATAACCATCGTTGAAAAGCTGACCCAACTTTGAGTTCAAGACTACTAATGTTCAACTCCGTGGCCTTGTAATTTTGAGCTCATTCCAGAAGACAAGGAAACTCCCGGATCAGGTATTGGGAGAAATTTGCCTTCGTGGAGAACTTTTTTTTAATTGAACTAACCTGCATTTGCGCTACATAGAGAAGAAAACCACGGAAAACTTCCATGGTTTGTTGGTGTCAAGGGGACTCTAATCCAATATCTGTCTACCACTGAGAATATTTTGCAACCGCACTGTGGTTGGAGCGAGCCGGGTGCGGAATTTGTATCGCTGGGATTCGAACCCGGCTCTCCTCATTGGAAGATAAACGCTCTACCCCCTGAGCGACCATGGTTCATCCCAGAAAGTATTTGGAAAACCATTCCTATTGGCAGAGGAGAAATTTTTCATACAAATATTTGTGGAATCACCCGTTTCCTTTTCAAACAAAAGTTTATAAACGTATTGGTTGAGGAATATATAGATAGCGATGGTCGTTGTACCCCATAAATAGGTGATCTAACTCGAACTATATATTCTTATTGGGGGTCTGGTGAGGCCAATTCCTTCGGCTGATAAAATTTTTGCCATGCTAATTCAAGGTGGACGTGACAGTTAGCGTTATCGTCCAACAAGTAACAGGGGTTCAACCGTCCAAATTGTCACAGCGTGGTATGCGTGGTTGTTGACGTGTTAATTGATGTTTCCCCTTGTAATTAAAATTGGTGTCTCAAGGTCGTCTACCTTCGTCATCTTGGTAACGATATGACAGGCGTTACTCTTTTTATTCACACGGCCGTTAAGGATATACCTCATTACAGAATTATAACGAATCAAGATATACTAAGAAACAGTTCCTTTTATATATATATATATATAACAACTTTATTCAACAACCACAGACCAACCATTCAACAACATGACCAGGACTCAAGCCTTCGCAGAGTGCGGTTGTGCTATAACCAGCTCTGTGCGAATCATGTCTCATCGAACTGCCCGCCGCGGGAAGGTTAGCCCTCGCGGGCGCTCACGGACCTCATCTACTGATGTTGCACCTAAGTTAGATAAACGGTTTCTACCGCCTAGTGATTATGACTCCTACCAGATTAAAGATAATTGATTGAACATCATATACGTAAAGACTTTCCTCGAAACGAAGGATCGATATTATTTGGGTATCGCCGGTGGAGCCTTTCATGCCATTCAAACCCTAAATGCCAGACCGAAGAAGCCGAGGCAGAATTACTCCCCCCTGAGCCAATGGAATCTGAAATGATGCCTAATCCAATAGAGCCAACAAAGCCAGAGCAGCCTGTTCCTACACCTCCAGCTGAGATCACTGCTAGTAATCCCACTGAACAACAGCCTGAGCCAACAGAACAAGAAAAAGAGACACAGAAAGAGGACACCGAACCTCCAAAAAAGAAGAAGAAAAGGAAGAAGAAAAATCCTCCTTCAGAACCCTCAGAAAGCATCCCACCTGCAACCAGCATCCACGAACCTGTAGTCTCACCTGCAGCCCATTCAGCAGAAGAGATCACAGTTCATAAACAGACTGATAAACTGCATAAGATCAACAGAAAACTTAAATTTCTCATAAAAGGACTATCAGAAGATTCCAAAACAGAGACTTTGGAGAAAGAACTCATAGCTATTGGTCGACGGCCAATCAGAGTTGAACAACTGAAGAAGAGGCGGGGCGAAGGATACAAGCTCTTCCCCCTTTTTCTGATCATACTGCCAGATAGCCCAGAGAACATGGATTTTCTCAACACCAAAGAGATTCTATCATCTGAAGTCCAGATAGAGCGATTTAGAGGAGGTCGTTTTGACATACAGTGCTATCGATGCCAAAAATTTGGCCATACACAAAAGAACTGCTCATCTGATCCAGCCTGCATGAAATGTGCGGGTGATCATATCACATACAAGCGCACTAAACTAAGAAGCCTGCCTGCTACTTGCATTAACTGCAAGGGAGAGCATCCCGCCTGTTTTACAGGCTGTGTTGCGAGACCAAGACGAAAGCCACTTCAAAAGAATGGAGAGCACAGGAGTGCTACCTAAACTGCAGGGGAGGGGGAAAGATGGGCGCACGATGAGCCCACTTAAAGCTTAAGGAGGGGGGAATTTTTACACTAAATAAAATGAATAGTTTGGGGGGGGGAATTTAGACCAGAGAATTTTTTTTAAGTACATAAATAAAAGAAGCAACAGGCCATTTTCAGGGCTTTTTGGGAGGGGGATGAATGTGCCCAAGATCTCGGAGGGGAACAAAACGAGGAGCCGTTCCCTCTTACCAGAAACAAGTCAAAGTGACATCACTTCTATCCACCAGGCCAACTACTCTTCCAAGCCACCTTCAAAAATTTTTCCTAAGGACATTATTCTAGGTGCCCACGGGCACTATCTTCGATGAAGCAGTGAAGTGTCCGCTTCGCGAACAGGTACTGCATATACAACTTTAGTTCAAGTTCAACAACCACAGATAAAGTAACAAAATTAAAGTACCCGTCATGGGTTAGTAACAACCTCAAATTCAGAAACAAAATCTATCTTCTCAAAAATCAACAACTCTCTCCTTCAAAATATTGTACTTTTAATTTATCTCGTTATTTGTCTTGTTTCTTTTGTCCATGCTTTTGCTAGCCAGAGATTTTCTTAAAAATAATCTTAAACTTTATAACTCCTCTCCCCTTGAAGGAACTTTTCCATAGAAAATAAATGAAAAGTTATTTATAAGCTTATTTGTGTACTTCATACAATTTTTATATAGGAAGTGATGTACAATATTTAACTTTAAACTCAAAATTACTAAATTATTTTTAGACTTTTGTAGTAAACATTAGTAGACAATTCACTTGTAACTCAATTTAGATATCAAATTAAAAATTCAAACTAAATTTTGGAATGCAAATAAATACTATAATTTAACTTCACGCATAAATATATTACAAAAGAAATATACCTATTTACACGTATGCAACAATATCTAAAGACTGAAGCTAACTGGAGCTTTTTCTTTATCAGAATGCTTATTTTCATCTTGATGTCACTAGTTTTAAAACCAAATAAAATACTTAACACTTTTAAATTTCGCATAATTAGATCCTAACACAATCTTATTAATATTTATATGCATAACTTGAAAAAACATAATTTAAGAACACTAGCAGTTTTCTCTACAATCAAATTCGCTTAACACTAATATTTCATTTTCAAGTAACATTTTTTAAACACTTTCTCAAGCTAAATTTTGACTGGCTGAATTTCAAAAGCTTCAATATTTTTCTTATTTTTTCTATGACTAGCATAATTTAACTTTAGTTCAAACTTCAATAATAAACTGATTTCTGTGCGAGTTTTTTTTTTTTTTTTTTTAGTAAATCAAGCATATGAATAAGAAAATAAGACTAAACTGTACAAAACATCACAGCTTACTATTTATAATTAAGAAAACAATGTTTAAAACAAACTAAAGAAATAAGAAAACAATCTTATAATTTAAATAGAAATCATTTGAAGTGAAATAATTAACTTTCTTTTAGTTTAGTTTAAGAATAATAAGCCTAAATTTCAGTTGTCTTAAGTCTTTTCTTTTTTTCTCTTTTTTTGGCGATTTGATAAATTCACGTTTTCTCTTAAAACAACAGTCAAATGCAACTGGCGAATTTTGAGATGACATGACTTCTATTGTAGATTTTAATATTTTTTTTACCAGTCTTTGAATGTTGTTCTTTGAATGTTATCTTGAGTGAATGCTTGGCTTTGGTTTCAGAATCAGGTCCCAAATTAAGAATATAGTTTTCTTTATCAAGCCCCACTCTATAAGGGAATGTTTATCATATTTTGCAATAGAATTTGCTTTTTCTTTTTAGAAATATGGTTTACTGGTATTTCTCTGCCATTTTTCTTTTCTTTTTTCTAGATTTCCAATTCTAAGATCCTATTTCAGCAATTATCTCCAACTTTTCCTTCGCTATCTCCACAATTCTTTTCCTAAACCTCCAGTCCCACTAATTAATTTTCTGGCAAGTTTTACCAATTCTGCCAAGTACACTGGATTTCTGTTTCTTGCTCCAAAAACAGGACTTTTCTTTTAATCTTACTTTATTAGCACGGTAATTTTTCCAATATGGTAGATATCTCTTGCACTTATACTCTTTGGTTCGATGATCAAAATTACATTTGACTCTTAAAATTTTCCTTTTTACTTTTATCCGCAATAAATTTCCTCGAAATCGATTCTTTTTTTGTTTCAGTCGTGTGTGAATAAATTTGTGATCAAAATTATTTGGCGATCATTTTAGTTTAACTCTTTGCTTGGCACTAATTCTATCAAAGTACTTTTTTCTTTTCCTTTTGACATTGACTCTTCGCAATTTGATCATTTTCCGGGCACTTCCATTCTTAACAAAGTTCTTCTTAGGAAA